AAAAAAAAAAAAATGAGGGGGCAGTGCCTGTGGCTCAAAGGAGTAGGGCCCTGGTCCCATATGCCGGAGGTGGTAGGTTCAAACCCAGCCCTGGCCAAAACTGCGCCCCCCAAAAAAAAGAAATGAGTATAATTGTGATGGATGCGTTACTTAGTTCAATGTAAGCATTTCGCATTGTATATCAAAGCAGTACCCTGAACCCTATAAATGCATCAATGTACAAAGTTATGATTTAATAAAAAATAAATAAAATTGGAGATAAGAGAGGTGATCAACCTTCCCCACCACAAACTACAATAATTAATAATTTGTGTGTTTCTTGTTGGAATCATTTTTTTTTTTTTATGAGACAGAGTTTTAACTGTCACCCTGGATAGAGGGTCGTGGTGTCATAACTGACAGCAACCTCAAACTTCAGGCTTAAGTGATCCTTAAGCTTCAGCCTCCTTAGTAGCTGGGACTACAGATATGCACCACTATACCCAGCTAACTTTTTATTTTTGGTAAAGATAGAGTCTCACTCTTGCTTAGGCTGAACTCCTGAGCTCAAGCAATCCACCAACCTTGGTCTCCCACAGGGCTAGGATTACATGTGTGAGCCAACTCGCCTGGCCTAATATTGTAATAATATTACTATTTGGGGTTACAATTATTATTATATCATAGGGAGTCAGTAGGATATAGAAGCCAGACTTCCTTGGCTTCTAATCCTAACTTTACTGTTTACTATTGGTCTGACCTTGGGCAGATTATTTTACCTTTCATTATCTATTTCTCCATCTGTAAAATGGGGATAATAATAGTTCCTACCTTATAAGGTTGATGTGATGATTCAATGAATTAATATATGTCAAGTACTTAGATTACTGCTTGGCATATATTACATGTATTATAATACACCAGCCAGCACAGTGGTTCACATCTATAATCCTAGCAATTTGGGAGGATCACTTAAGCTCAAGAGTTTGAGTGGCTATGATGATTCCACTGGTCACTGTACTTTAGCCTGAGAGACAGAGCAAGACCTTGTCTGAAAATATAAGAAAACAGACTGGATAGTGGCTCATGCCTGTAATCCTAGCACTCTGGGAGGGCAAAGTGGGAGGATCCCTCGAGCTCAAGAGTAGGCGGCACCTATGGCTCAAGGAGGAGCATGCTGGCCCCATATACTGGAGGTGGCAGTTTCAAACCGGCCTCAGCCAAAATTGCAAAAAAAAAAAGAGTCCAAGACCAGCCTAAGCAAAAACAAGACCCTGTCTCTACTAAAAATAAAAAAATTAGTTGGGCATGGTGGCGGACACCTCTAGTCCCATCTACTCAGGAGACTGAGGCAGAAGGATCACTTGAGCCGAGGAGTTTGAGGTTGCTGTGAGCTAGGCTGACACCCTAGCACCCTAGCCTGGGCATCAAAATGAGATTCTGTCTTAACAAAAAAATAATAATTATACCTGTAATACACTGGCATTGAATTTTCACTTGGTCTTAGCCAAAAGGCCGAGAAGCATTGGGTTCTCTGATTACCTGTGGTACTACCGCCAGGAGAGAGCAAGGCCTCCCTGCCCTGGGCAACTCCTCTTGCCCCCCTCCGCTACTTCCTGTAGCAATTACTTAGTGGCAACTGGGGCAGCAAGGCAACTTACAGCTTTTTTATGATGGTCTTCTCCTCCTTGCTACTGCTGGCATTGCTAGCCCTGGCAAGCAGAGCATCTTTTTCTCTTCTTCCTCTGGGGCCTTCTCTTGGCAATGGAAACAGGCCACTGGGAAAAAGGGGACAAATAAATGGGTTGTTTTATTGAAGACTTCTTATCTGTGTAGCTCTGAAAAGAAAGGCTGCATCCAGGTGGGTGCTGGGCACAGCTGGGACTTTCAGCAGGGCCATCTCGGTTTTCCTCCACATGACCTCTCCTCGTGATTACTTTGAGCTTCACAGTATGGCAGTCTCAAGTTAGTATTCTAAGAGCACAAAAATGGAATCTGCAAGGTATCGTAAATCCTCAACCTAGAAAGCTAAACATCAATCATATTCCATTGGTCAAAGCCAGTCATAGGACTCATGCCGTAGTCTCAGTGATTCAGGAGGCGGAGGCAGGAGGACTGCTTGAGACCAGGAATTTGAGGGTGCTGTGAGCTAGGCTAACAACATGGCACTTTAGTCTGGGCAACAGAATGAGACTTTGTTTACATACACATACATTAAAAAAAAAAAAGGGAAAATAGATTCTACCTTATTTTTTTTCTTTTTAAAAAATTTTTCAGGGGGCGGTGCTGTGGCTCAAAGGGGTAGGGCGCTGGCCCCATATGCCAGAGGTGGCGAGTTCAAACCCAGCCCTGGCCAAAAACTGCAAAAAAAAAAAATTTTTTTTTTCAAGCTGGGCACAGTAGCTCACACCTATAATCCTAGCTCTCTGTTAGGCCAAGATCAGTAAATTGCTTGAGCTCAGGAGTTTGAGACCAGCCTGAGCAACAGTGAGACCCTGTCTCTCAAAATAGCTGGGTGTTGAGACAGATTCCTGAAGTCCCAGCTACTTGTTTGGCTGAGGCAAGAGGATCCTTTGGGCTCAGGAGTTTGAAGTTGCTGTGAGCTATGATGCCACAGGACTCTACTGAGGGCAACAGAGAAAACTCTATCTCAAAAACAAAAAAAGTCTCATTGCAAACAGCATGGAGGATGGGAAATATAACTGTGGCCACCTTTGGAAACAAACTATTATAGCTGTCATTATAAATTATTATCCGGGCTCAGTGCCTGTGGCTCAAGTGGCTAAGGCATCAGCCACATACACCTAAGGTGGTGGGTTCGAATCCAGCCCGGGCCCGCCAAACAACAATGATGGCTACAACCAAAAAATAGCCAGGCATTGTGGCGGGCACCTATGGTCCCAGCTACTTGGGAGGCTGAGGCAGGAGACTCACTTAACCCAAGAAGTGGGAGGTTGCTGTGAGCTGTGATGCCTCAGCACTCTACCCAGGGGGACAGCTTGAGGCTCTGTCTCAAAATAAATAAATAAATAAATAATTATCCGTATAGTATCAGTATAAGCGCGGACCTCCAAATTGATGCAGTTGCTATGAGAACATCTCAGTTGGCAGACTGGTTTCTCTAGAATATATAACCCTAGAAACTAAGCAGCATCCTGCTTCTTTTGGCCTGCACCAGATGGAAAGTGCACATCTTTTGTTCTCTGGGAATTCAAAACTAGCAATAAAGTGTGTTGTTTTGTTCACTGACAAGCTGCTCACAGCACCAGGAGCTTAGCAGTTCCTTTTTTTTTTTTTCAAGATAGAATCTCAAGCTGTCACCCTAGGTACAGTAGAGTGCCGTTGCATCACAGCTCACCGCAACCTCAAACTCTTGGGCTTAAGCGAATCTCTTGCCTCCGCCTCCCCAGTATCCGGGACTACAGGCACCCGCCACAACGCCCAGCTATTTTTTTGTTGTAGTTGTCACTGTTGTTTGGCAGGCCCGGGCTGGATTCAAAGCTGCCTGCTCAGTGTATGTGGCTGGTACCTAACTACTGAACTACAAGGGCTGAGCCAGCAGTTCCTTTTTTTAACTACCTATGTCTGAACTACTTATTAAAGGAGATAAGATCTTTCCATCAACATAGTTCCAACCTCAGCAGAAGGGAAGAAGTAAATTGCTGTTGGCAGAATCAGCCCTTTTGGGTTTGGCTTCTTAGAACACTTCTACTTATTACTGCTCTCTTTTTCTTTCTTTCTTTTTTTTTTTTTTTGAGACAGAGTCTCACTATGTCGCCCTGGGTAGAGTGCCATGGCATCACAGCTCACAGCAGCCTCAAGCTCTTGGACTTAAGTGATTTTCTTGCCTCAGCCTCCCAAGTATCTGGGACTACAGGTGCCTGCCACAACGCCCGGCCATTTTTTGGTTGGAGTTGTCACTGTTGTTTGGCAGGTCTGGGCTGGATTCGAACCTGCCAGCTCTGGTGCATGTGGCTGGCACCTTAGCCGCTGAGCTACAGGCACCAAGCCTATTACTATTCTCGTATAGATGCTACATGTATAGAATCTAAAGAAGACTATTACTTGGCCTTTTTTTGTTTTGTTTATGTCCTCAATTCCAAACTTTCAGGGTCCAAATGTGGCATGTTAATTAAAAATACAGCTCTGATGAGCTCACATCCCCACCACAGCTTTAAGCAGGTACCAGCCTGTTTAGACCCCAGCTCACCATGGCGAGAACATCACTCCAGCTCAGTCTTGCTGTGAGCACTAATTGAAATGACACTTGGGATACACTTAACAGAGTATCTGGTATGTGGTGAGTATTTGTAAATACTACTGAGCAGTGTGTTTTTATTCCCTTGGTCTTTCCTTCTTCTACCTATAAGAAAACATGCATTAAGCTGGTACAGTGGCTCACGCCTATACTCCCAGTACTCTGGGAGCCAAGGCAGGTGGATTGCTTGAGCTCAGGAATTCCTGACCAGCCTGAGCAAGAGTGAGACCCTGCCCTCTAAAAAGGCAAGCACCTATAGTCCTAGCTACTCAGGAGGCTGAGGCAAGAGGATAGCTTGAGCCCAAGAGTTTGAAGTTGCTGTGAGCTATGATGCTACAGCACTCTACCACAGGTGACAAGGTGAGACTCTGTCTTGACAAAAAAAAAAGAAAGAAAGAAAACATGCTTTAACTCAAGTGTTTCCCAGAATTACTCTATCAGAGTCCCCTTCTCAAGAAATACCAATACAAGGCTCAGTGCCTATAGCTCAACTGGCTAAGGCGCCAGCCACGTACACCTAAGGTGGCGGGTTCGAATCCCCAGCCTGGACCCGCCAAACAACAATGACGGCTGCAAC